ACTCCAGAGAACCACAGTGAAGGTCATTAAATCCAAATGGAGAAGGTCAAGGTCAAGGTCAGATTTATTTATATAGCACATTTCCAACAGCCGATGCTGCACAAAGTGCTTAACAATAACAATAAAATTAAAAACTACAGTGTAATACAATAATAACAATAGAAACAATAAAATAGAAGAATTGAAACAATACTAACTAATTCAGATAAATCCAAAATGCTTGGGTCATAATGTGTTAAAAGCCAGAGCGTAAAAGTGTGTCTTTAGTAAAGATTTAAATTGCTCAAGAGTTTGAGCAGATCTAATATTAAAGGGGAGACTATTCCAAAGTCTGGGACCTGCCACAGAGAAGGATCTATCACCACGAGATTTGAGGTTAGTCCGTGGAATGGACAACAATAGTTTTGAACTAGATCTCGTGGGTTTTCCTGGAGCATAGGCAGAGAGGAGCTCTGACAAGTAGGGGGGGGGGCTCGGGCGTTGAGTGACTTAAAAACAAAAAGTAAGAGTTTAAATTGGATCCTGTAGGGGACAGGGAGCCAGTGTAAAGAGGCTAAAATTGGGGTTATATGCTCTCTCCGTTTGGTACCGGTTAGCAGGCGAGCAGCAGCATTTTGAACCATCTGAAGGCGATGGATGGTGGCATGATCTAGGCCATAATACAATGAATTGCAGTAGTCCAATCTGCAAGTAAGAAAAAGGTGGATGATACGCTCGAAGACGTCAGCCGGAAGGTATGGCTTTATCCTGGCTAGCTGTCTTAGCTGAAAAAAACAGGACTGAACTACTGCACTCACCTGCTTATTCAATTTAAAAGAACCATCAATGTAAACTCCGAGGTTTTTTACATGTGTTTTACAATACGAGGAGAGGGTACCCAACGTGCTGTCGATATGATTGAAATTGCCAAAAATGACAACCTCAGTTTTGTTTTCGTTTAGCTGTAAAAAATTTAATGATAACTATAAACAGTGGCCAGGAGTGGCCCACCTACCAAAGTTGCTCCAAGAGCATCAGCGACTCATCCAGGAGGTCACAAAAGAACCAAAAAAACATCTAAAGAACTGCAGGCCTGACTCACCTCAGTTTAGGTCAGAGGTCATTCAACACCGGGCAAAAAAGGCATCCATAGAAAGGAAGTATTTCAGTGTTATTGCTAACTACTCCTAAGCTAATGTTGTGTTCAGCCTTTACAATACAAATGAGACGTGCATGATCCCTAAACCTCGTCCCCAAACACACAACTGTCTGCTGTACCTCAGCCCTCCTGAGATAAGTGACAGATCAACATTTGGTAAGTTCCCCAGACAAAAGACACAAAACAGCCGGCTATGAGATGGAATTATAAACTCACTGAAAACCAAGCAATCAAAAAATAGGACAGAACAGGGAATCACGCCCACATTTACACTAGAGGGATAATATTAAATGAAAAAGATGAAGAATTCTGCAGAAATGACATGCGTGATGCTCAGAATTTGTTGGCTTGATGTGTCGTCCTCGTGCCCCACAAACATGTTTTTGGTTTCTGGCCACACTTTGGTAATTTGACACTAAAATCTTCTTCGCCCGCTTTGAGACCAGGGTACCGGAGGTATTGGAGCCACAGCAGCAACACGCCACCCATAGCAGCACCACCCTCACCCTGGAAGAGCACGAGGTGAGGCGCATGCTGCAGGCTGTTAACCCGAGGAAGGCGGCGGGTCCTGATGGTGTGCCAGGTCGAATATTGAGGGATCGTGCAGAACAGCTGGCTGGGATCTTCACCAGGATCTTCAACAAATCCCTCGCACAGGCGACTGTCCCACTCTGCCTGAAGTCCTCCACCATAGTCCCCTTGCCTAAGAAGCCCCACATCACCGGCCTGAATGACTACAGACCGGTGGCACTCACCCCAGTGGTAATGAAATGCTTTGAGAAGCTGGTCCGCAGACACATCACAGCAGCCCTGCCCCGCAGCCTGGATCCACACCAGTTTGCCTACAGAGCAAACCGATCCACGGAAGACGCTGTAGCCACAGCACTCCATGCTGCATTAACTCACCTGGAAGAGCATGGTAGCTATGTGCGGATGCTCTTCGTGGATTACTGCTCAGCTTTTAACACCATCCTTCCACACAAACTGGTGGCCAAGCTACAAGACCTGGGGCTTCCATACAGCACCTGCATGTGGATCAATAGCTTCCTCTCGGGCCGTAGACAGAGAGTCAGAGTTGGCCATCACACATCCTCAGCCCTGAGTCTCAGCACTGGCTCACCCCAGGGCTGTGTGCTCAGTCCACTGCTCTACTCTCTCTACACACACGACTGCACTCCTCGCCACCACAGCAACATCTTTGTGAAATTTGCAGATGACACCACAGTGGTGGGGCTCATTTCCAAGGGAGACGAGTCTACGTACAGAGACGAGGTGGAGCAGCTGACGTCATGGTGTAAGGCCAATAACCTCCTCCTCAACGCTTCAAAAACCGAAGAACTCATAATAGACTTCAGAAGGAAAAAGGCAGAGATCCAACCACTATTCATTAATGGGGACTGTGTAGAAAGGGTGGCAAGCTTCCGCTTCCTGGGAGTCAATATAGAGGAGAACCTTTCCTGGAGTGTGAACACCTCCGAGCTGCTGAAAAAGGCCCAACAGAGACTGTACTTCCTGAGAATTCTCAGGAGGAATAACATCACACAGAGACTGCTGGTGTCCTTCTACAGAGCCACCATTGAGAGTGTTCTAACTTACTGCATATGCATCTGGTACACTAGCTGCACAGGGGCTCAGAGGAAAGCACTCCAAGGGATCATTAACACCGCCCAAAAGATCACTGGCTGCCCTCTCCCCACACTGGAAGTTCTACACAATGCCCACTGTTTTGAAAAGGCCCAAAACATCATAAAAGACACCTCACATCCTGGCCACTCCCTGTTCGAACTGTTGCCCTCAGGCAGACGGTACAGGGCAATCAGAGCAAGGACTAATAGACTCAAACACAGCTGTTATCCAACTGCAATAACACATCTGAATACTACAAAAAAATGTCCATCACGCCACTCTTGTGTTAATCTATGCACGGTCTGAAGCATGTGTGTGGGAATGTATGTGAATGTTTTACTGTTACATCTTATTAGTATTTTAAGTATTCTATCTATTTTATTTATTGAATTTTATTGTTTTATTTATATTTTGATATTGCTAGGGATGATGCAATGATCGGGGACCATTCTTAATTTCGTTGTTCTCGTGACAATGACAATAAAGTTTCTGATTCTGATTCTAAAATGATTCCTGCGAAATTTCAACCCTTTAGAAACAGTAAATGATTTTGGTGAGGAAATGATGATCACAGGAGAAGAATTAAAATAGCATGATCCAAATATAGAATAATCTTTTGGGAACCTATTAGTCAGTGCATGATGCCAGCATTCAGATTAAAAAAAGGAAAAAGTAATTATTCTGATTATAATACCGATGAGATATTCGTGATTGCAGAGTGGACCAAATATAGCAGGTGAAATTACATTTAAAGGACTTAAATGGGTGTTGATGCTGATGAAAGACATAAAACTGTCTGTGATGATAGATAAAACATGTTATTCACACCTGAAATGCAAAGCAGTGCAGATTAGAAGGTATTTGTAAAAACTAGCAGGCAAAACAACTGGTAAAGACATTAACCTTGTATATAAAATGTATAAAGTCCATTACTGTATATAGTAACTGTTAAGTCTAATATACCCTAGTAAGCTATAGTACTTTTTCCTTTGGGAACCATCTCTGCAGTTCTGTTGAAGAAAGATGTTGAATCTATTTAATTATTCTTGAAAAATAATTTATTTCTGTGCATTTTTTTTTCACATTGCATCAAATTAAAGTTGATTACATCGATTAAGCATCATGAGGTAGAGGGTGGTTCCCTTTTTTTTTTTTTTTTGCTGGGAGTTTGCAAACCTATTAGTTAAGTTGCTTAATATTTCTGCTAAGTACTCTTTAAAACACCAGAATAAGGACGATGTAGTAGGTTTAAGTTTATTAGATTGATCAGTGTTGCTGAACTATGAAATATTTTGGGTGCAGTGTATTTTTTGCATACAGGTATAACAGAATAGCTTTAGTGTTTTGTTTTGTTTTTTTAAACTTGAGTATGAACTTATACAAAAGCAAGATATTTAAAAAAAAAAACAGTTTTATTGATTAAAATCACACTATATCAGATTCATATCGGTATCGGCCGATATCCAAATTTATGATATCGGTATCGGACATAAAAAAGTGGTATCGTGCCATCTCTAATTGGAACTAATGAATTTTTCCAAAATGTAAACTCCAGATCATGAAAATCATCAAGTTCCTTGAAGTCTATAATGTTTGGTCAAAGCACAGATGTCCACATAAAAATAAAAAATAAAATACTGAAAATAGTATATTACTATTTATTATTATAGTACACAGTATGTATGCAAGTTATTATTGTTCATTTTCAGTCTTATTTTATATGAAAACTTTTAATTAAATGCAGATTGTCTGAAATGATGCTTAATGTTTATCAGTGGAAGAGTAAAATGTAACTTTAATTTGAAAGAACACATGCATGCTCCATTTGTCGTTCTTCTTCTTAAAAGTCTTGCTATGTTTTCTTATTACTGTTTATATATTTGACACTAACAGCTTTCTCTTAAAAGCTTCAAATAAATGCAAAAGTCCCACTAAAAAATGTAAACATGTGTCTATGTCGCCATCTGCTGGGCAAACATGAAAAATCATTTTGTTCATTTTTAACAGCCTGCCACTTCCTGATGGGTTTTCGCGGGAGTTTCTCAGGGGGCGGAGTCACGTGGTAACACGAGGCCCGCATTGGACAGTTGCACGTTTACCCGCCGACTATGTAAAGCGGTGCGTGCCGAATTGACCAATCGCGTGTCACGCTGAGCTCGCGGGCGGCACGTAGTGGCGCGAAAACCCTTCAGTTGTGCGGCTTGACTGGAGCGGAGCACTCGGAGCGGACGGCTGTGCGGCATTTTACCGACTTTTCAGTAACAATAACAAAGCGCGCATAATGGCAACCGACGTGGGAGATGACCGGGAGATGAGGGAGGCTCAGAGGGACTACCTGGACTTTCTGGACGACGACGTAAGTCTGTTTTTTTTAAATTCGCTTAAAGTCTTTGTTTGGAGCTCAGATGACAAACCATGCGGTCACAACAAAAGAGCTGTAATTTTGTATATTACAGAAAAAAATAATGCTGCTGTCAGATTGCAGATATTAGGTATAAAAAGTGTGCTTTCAAAGTTGATGTTTTTCAGTCATGCTCGTAATTTTAGTCGCTAAGCGACGTCATCAAACGTGTGCCCGTTTCTTCTGTGCATACCTGCAGCAAGACCAGGGCATCTATCAGAGCAAAGTCCGGGACATGATCAGCGAGAATAAGGCTCGGCTCATCGTCAACATCAACGACCTGAGGAGACGCAACGAGGCCCGAGCTGCAAAGTAAGACAGGAAAACTGGCTGATGCCGCACACGAAGCTGTGCTGGGCCGCACACACAGGACTGCTTGACCCCCCCATGCTTACCTTATTGCTTAAGATACTAGCAGTGTTACTGAGTTATTACCACGAAAAGGTTTTGAAATGTCCAAAATGACGTCATAGTTGATGGCAATTGGCCTCCCTACAACATTGTGAGGTCCCTACAAAGTGTTATGTTGAATGGTTCCATTAATCTTTACTGTTTTTTAAAAAATAAATATTTAGACGGAAACGCATGCTCAGTTTTTCTCTTCCTGCTTAGGCTTACTTAGAAACTCGACAGGTTTCAAACTCACACAGACTGTATGTAAAGATGGCTGTAGCCATCACCCAGGCTCAGACTGAGCTTCACTTATCTTGTTTTGAAACTTGTTATAAGGAGCGAAGGCTGAATCTGGCTGGAAAAACTGAGGGATGCTCAGAGACTGGTGACCTCTTAGACACACATCCAGGTTAATTCAGCCTTTGATGGGACCATGATTTACAAAATGATCATGATTTTGTGCTCAGTATAACTTGAAACAAGCAGCAGGGAAGTGTATACTGAAGTCAAAGTGCTGTTTGCCATACAGTTCAATACTAAGAAACTTTATTTCTGAGACCTGAAGGATCAACGCCCCCTACTGGCCAGCAGAAAGAATACAGGTTTAACGCAGCTTTACTTTGTCCAAAACCAGACTTGATTCATACACATTCTTCTTCCTGTTGTCGAACCTTTGAGCTCGACTCCTGTTTCCATACTGAGTAAGTAAAAAAAAAATCTGTGTGAAGCTGCACTTTGGGTGGAAAACTCGACTTGTGTTTCTCAGTATGTCATAGCCCTTAAAAACACGCGAAAAGCCTTGATAATAAAATCCATGGTTTGACTTTGCAGACTGATGAACAATGCCTTTGAAGAGCTGCTGGCCTTCCAGCGGGCCCTGAAGGACCTGGTGGCCTCTGTTGACGGCACCTACGCTAAGCAGTACGAGGAGTTCTTCATCGGCCTGGAGGGGAGCTTTGGATCCAAGCATGTCTCCCCCCGAACGCTCACCTCCCGACTGCTGGGCAGCATGGTTTGTGTGGAGGGCATCATTACAAAGTGTGAGTATATTGTCTTTATTTATTCGTGTAATCTTTAAGTGTTACAAAGTCTGTATCAAAGTGTGTGGAATGCCAATGCCTCCTGTTTGCTTCGTCCTGTAGGTTCCCTCGTCGTCCCAAAGTAGTGCCAGCGTTCACTACTGTCCAGCCACTAAGAAGACGATGGAGAGGAAGTACACGGACCTGACTCCCCTGGATGCCTTCCCCTCCAGTGCCATTTACCCCACCAAGGTAAATCGCCTCATTCTCTGTAACTTGGGTGTGACTGCTGTCTTTATACTTACGCATTTATCTTGTGTCCTGTTGACTCGAAATAGGACGAAGAGAACAATCCTCTGGAGACGGAGTTTGGGCTGTCCATCTACAAGGACCACCAAACCATCACAGTGCAGGAGATGCCTGAGAAAGCTCCTGCTGGCCAACTTCCGCGCTCTGTGGACATCATTTTGGACAACGACCTGGTGGATGCAGTCAAACCAGGAGACCGGGTGCAGGTGGTTGGGACGTACCGCTGTCTGCCTGGCAAGAAGGGAGGATTCACCTCTGGCACGTTCAGGTCAGCTGGAATAAAATGCTAACTGGGGTTTAACGGGTTTACCTCACTTGCCTACCATTTGTCTTCTAACTAAAGATGGACCGATCCGATATTACGTGTTGGTCCAATACTGACCTAAGTGACTGGATCGGATATCGGAGAAAAATAAAAAATGTAATTCGATCCATTAAATATCAAACAAGCACCTCACAAAACTTGCAACGCGCCGTAACTCGGCTCATAACCGTAGCACGTCGCAGCAGTATGCATCATGTGATAGAGCGGCTGTGGCGTGCGAGACCTGTCGGTGGTCTGGTTGAGCATTTGGAGCTTCGCTAGCAACCCGGCATTTCATCTCCGAGCAAGTGATCCCAGAGAGAAGTAAAGCAAGTGTGTAAGTCCATCTCTGAATGTTTGTAAAGCATTCGCATGTTAAGCTTAACAAGCGATATATGGAGCGACTGCCTCTCCTGCTGCTACTTCAATCATGAAACTGATCAATGATCAGCTGATCGTCTCTCTTGTTTGTTTTTGGCCCACTTTACACCAGAAAGAGGAAACCAGCGGCTGAACAACAGCAGCACGTTTAAGCTTGATCAGCTGCTGTTAGAATTTATTTAATATTACTTTCTACACCAGGATCCTTTTCTACGTAGCTGATGTAACTGTGCAGGGGCGGATCTAGCAAAGTTTAGCCAGGGGGGCCGATAGGACATGAACAGGGAGAAGGGGGCACAAAGACATACTTTTCTTTCTTATTCTCATTTAAAATGTTGAGCTTTTAATAATTATCTGAATCTTACACCCAAAGTTTTAATCTGATGTAAAATGTATAAAGTCCATTATTGTATATAGTAACTGTTAAGTCTAATATACTCTAGTAAGCTATAGTACTTTTTCCTTTGGGAACCATCTGTGCAGTTCTGTTGAAGAAAGATGTTGAATCTATTTAATTATTCTTGAAAAATAATTTAATTCTGTGCATTTTTTTTTTTTTTCACACTGCGTCAAATTAAAGTTGATTACATCGATTAAGCATCATGAGGTGGAGCGTGAGGGGTGGTTCCCTTTTTTCTT